CACTCGCCCCCCGCACCAGCGCGGCACGCGTTGCACGGAGAGCAGGAGTCTGGCTGAACAAAGAGGTGTGTGGGAACTAGCACTTACCAGCTTCAAATGCTGACGCTACCCCACGTGAAACAATCTGCTCGCTTCGGTCACTGAAGCCTGGTGTGTTTGTAGGAGATGGGGAGAGAAGAGACATGGGTCACAATTACGATAAAAGAAAGGAAAATATAACTCCCTCCCATCTCCTCCAAACACACCAGACCTAGCTAGATTTAACCCTGAGTCTCATTATTACAGAAATAACTACAGTAGCACAGCCTCAGACAGTTGCTGTAAAGCATTTAACTATCATCTGAGAATCCTACACCCCCTTTCTTTGCCCTGCAAAGAACACACAGTTCGTGTTTCAACTGGCAGTCGCCCACACAGGTGATAGAGAACCCACACCAAGAGTTAAACAGACTCCATGAAACCCCAGGCGTGCCAACACTGACGCTGGAGGTTCGGAGCCGAGAAGCAAAGCTGCTCAGAGCAGCGTCTGACCCTTCACCCGTGCGTGTTTCCCTTCCCGTCAATGCCAAAACTGACTGACAGCCCCAGGCTGAGCCATTGCACTGCCTGCCCGCAAGTCTACATGGCCTCATCTCTCACATAGCTACGTAAAATGTTTAGTTTAACAGATACCAGTCCAGACCACTAACAACTACCTCCCCCCAAAGCTGGAGGCTTTCTGGGAAGAAAAAAAAGAGAAAAAGAAAAAAGGATGCTCTCAAAGTTTATGTCTGTAAATCAAACAACAGGGAGAAGTCGTTTTAAGTTAATGCAAATCAAATCAGTAAGTGGAACCGTTTTACGGTAACTTCCTGAACAAAGCAGCTCTGCTTGATTTCACTTGCTGAACACCGATTTTAAAAAACCCTGAAGGCAGCAGCTTGGCAGAGGCAGCCGCGCTCCCTTGGCCGGGCAGCAGCAGCAGCAGCAGCCCGCAGCCCACCGCGGCAGGGAGGGGGCAGCGCCTCCGCCTCTTCCCGGGGAGTGGCAGCGGGAGGCGGCCATCCCGCCCACCGGCTGGCGGGAGACTTAAAGTGGGCTGGAGCAGCCGGGAGCCCCGTGTGCTCCCGCTCGGCGCCGCCATGTCCACCCCCGCCAAGCGGCATTGCTACAGCCCCGCCAGCTCCCTCGACTCCAGCTTCCAGAAGCGCCTCAGGAAGATTTCCATCGAGGGGAACATCGGTGAGCTCGGTGGCGGGGGAGGGAAGTCGGGGCTCGCGCCCGTGGCAGTTGGGGCCTCAGGACGAGAGTGCCCTGAGGCGGCACAGATGACGCCTCAGGAGAGGGGCGGCCGAGGGGCCTTTTCCACCCACCTCTACAGGAAGGCAGGGGGATCTTGCTGCGGGAGAAGCGCAGCCGGCGCTCATCCGCTGCTGCCGGGCCGAGACCCGCTCCCGCCGATACTCCGAAATCGG